ACAATCCACAGGGCTCACCATAGCACATACCCTTCCCAATGTCCATCACGCAGCCCCCCCATCCCTCCCACCCCCCACCACTCCAGCAACCCTCAGTTTGTTTCCTGAGATTAAGAGTCTCTTATGGTTTGTCTCCCTCTCTGGTTTCGTCTTGTTTCATTTTTTTCCTCCCTTCCCCTATGATCCTCCATCTTGTTTCTCAAATTCCTCATATCAGTGAGATCATATGATACTTGTCTTTCTCTGATTGACTTATTTCGCTTAGCATAATACCCTCCAGTTCCATCCACGTCATTGCAAATGGTAAGATTTTTTTGATGGCTGCATAATATTCCATTGTATATATATACACCACATCTTCTTTATCCATTCATCTGTTAATGGACGTCTTGGCTCTTTCCATAGCTTTGCTATTGTGGACATTGCTGCTATAAACATTGGGGTGCATGCACCCTTCAGATCACTACATTTGTATCTTTGGAGTAAATACCCAGCAGTGCAATTCCTGGATCGTATGGTAGCTCTATTTTCAACTTTTTGAAGAACTTCCATACTGTTTTCCAGAGTGGCTGCACCAGCTTGCATTCCCACCAACAGTGTAGGAGGGGTCGGTCCCCTTTCTCCGCATCCCCGCCAACATCTGTCGTTTCCTGACTTGTTAATTTTAGCCATTCTGACTGGTGTGAGGTGGTATCTCATTGAGGTTTTGATTTGGATTTCCCTGATGCCGAGCGATGTTGGAACACTTTTTCATGTGTCTGTTGGCCATTTGGATGTCTTCTTTTCAGAAATGTCTCTTCATGTCTCTGCCCATTTCTTCCTTGGATTATTTGTTCTTTGGGTGTTGAGTTTGACAAGTTCTTTATAGATTTTGAATACTAGCCCTTTATCTGATATGTCATTTGCAAATATCTTCTCCCATTCTGTCAGTTGTCTTTTGGTTTTGTTGACTGTTTCCTTTGCTGTGCAAAAGCTTTTTATCTTGGTGAAGTCCCAAGAGTTCATGTTTGCCCTTGCTTCCCTTGGCTTTGGCGATGTGTCTAGGAAGAAGTTGCTGCGGCTGAGGTCGAAGAGGTTGCTGCCTGTGTTCTCCTCAAGGATTTTGATGGATTCCTGTCTCACATTTAAGTCCTTCATCCATTTTGAGTCTATCTTTGTGTGTGGTGTAAGGAAATGGTCCAGTTTCATTCTCCTGCATGTGGCTGTCCAATTTTCCCAACACCATTTGTTGAAGAGACTGTCTTTTTTCCATTGGACATTCTTTCCTGCTTTGTTGAAGATTAGTTGACCATAGAGTTGGGGGGCCATTTCTGGGTTCTCGATTCTGTTCCATTGATCTATGTGTCTGTTTTTGTGCCAGTACTGTACTGTCTTGATGATTACAGCTTTGTAATAGAACTTGAAGTCTGGAATTGTGATGCTACCAGCTTTGCTTTGCTTTTTCAACATTCTTCTGGCTATTCGGGGTCTTTTCTGGTTCCATACAAGTTTTAGGATTATTTGTTCCATTTCTTTGAAAAAAAGTTGATGGTATTTTGATAGGGATTGCATTAAATGTGTAGATTGCTCTAGGTAGCATAGACATTTTCACAATATTTGTTCTTCCAATCCTCCACATGAAATTTTAAATCTCAAGAATGTTCTAGAGAGAATAGAGAAACTCCCTGGTGCTCTGTTGTGAGGGGGCGGGGGGGGTTAGTCTTTTCCTGAACTGGCCACCTTTCTAATGCGTCTGAATTGTCACAGGGTACCTTCAAACCCTCATCTGATGGACAGATTAAATAAAAAGCCAAACTGCTGTACCTGAAGACCATTTCACCCTTTCTTTAGTAAGGAGAGCAGAAATGAAACTTTCTTTCCACACCTAAGTGATGTGAGGTTTGATGTACACGTTATCCTTAGCAGATTCTATTCCTTCTGCCTGCCTGCTCCCATGTGCTTTTAGCTCTGAACCTCCTTCCTGAAAATATGTCATTTTCATTTGTCGCCAGAAACAAAACCTTTTACCCTTGTTTTTCCAGGCTTAAATATCAGATGTGTTGGTTAGTTTTGTCAGCAAACAATGAAGTGGTAAGCAGGTACTGAGGGCTAGGAAAGATCACAGGGTCTGGAGACCAAGACGCAGATCCTCACAGAGGCTCGGTGGCCCTGGGTGTGATGGAACAATGACTCTTACTTTTGTATTTATGCCACACTTCTAAACACACACACACATACACAATAGCTTCCAGTAAAAACACACATAAAGTTGGGTGCGTACAATAGCAGCAGAAAATGAAAATTGTACAAAGGCAGAGAAGCTGAATATGCAAGCCACATAGGTTAATACTTGTACTGTCAATAAATGGAAAATTTTAACCTGGGCAAAAATGTAAGCAGGTTAGTTACACATGAAGCTTCTTAGTTTACAGAGGCGATTGCTCTTACTGCTAAAATCTAGATCCTTTATTCGTGAGACCTTGAATTACACATTATGCAATGATTTAAATAGTTTTACAAAAAATCAAGAACGTTGTGGTCAAATGGCTATTTAGCACGAATATAGGCCAAGAACAGGTTCTAAAATGGAGATTGTTAACCAATATCACAGATATTTTTTTTTAAGATTTTATTTATTTACTTGACAGGGCGAGAGAGCATAAGCAGGGGAAACAGTAGAGGGAGAGGGAGAAGAATCCCTTGGCAGGGAGCCTGATGCGGGGCTCAATCCCAGGACCCGGGATCATGACCTGAGCTGAAGGCAGACGCTTAACCATCTGAGCCACCCAGGCGCCCCTATCACAGATATTTTCTTATCAATGATACAGTTACTGCCAGTATCTCAGAAGTTCATGTTCTCATTCCCACATTGAAAGTACAATTGCTATTAGAACTCAGGCATCTCTTGGATGGCTCAGTGCATTAAGCGTCTGACTCTCGGTTTTGGGTCAGGTCATGATCTCAGGGTCCAAAGATGGAGCCCTGCATCGGGCTCTGAGCTCTGCTCAGAGTCTGCTTGAGATTTTCTCTCTCCCTCTGCCCCTCCCCCCTGCTCACATGTGCTCTCCCTCTCTCTAAAATAAATAAATAGAAATCTTTAAAAAAAAAAAAAAGAATTCAGGCAGCTCTTGTTTCTAATGCTTTAATTAAGAAGCATATATGTTGCTGTATCGAAATATTTTGCTAACTGAATTTTAGTGTAAGTGGTTTTCTTTGTAACTCCATGCACTTTGGCATTTTGTTTATGCATTTAAATGCTCACTCTGGGCAAGGTCCTATGGGCTTCACCAGACCACCAATGGGCTCTGAAGCACAGAAAAAAAAATCAGACGCCTGCTCCAAAGAGGTAAGATACTAACCTAACATGCTAGAGAACTTTCTGATGATCTAACTTGAGCCAAGTATAGGCTTGGAAAATCTAAAAGGGAGATAAGATAGTTTGTCTCTTAAATCGTAAACCTTTCTGCTAAAAAAAAAAAAAAAAAAAATCCCACGATCTTGAGTATTTGCTCAAGTTATGAAGAGCAATCAGAGAGTGAGATTCAAGGGGCCCTGCGCCCCGCTTTTTAAATTGTATCCTATTCACTGAGTGACTAAAACTTGAACATTTTCCTTTGCCTGTGTGAGTATGGCCTTTGCCATCTTTATCTGAAATAATTTCCTCCTGAATTAAGGTATGAAAGGGCAACCAATCAGCTGAGTAATGGGAAAATGGCCCCAGAGTGGGCCAGATCCTGATGTTATCGGTTATATTTCAATATCATACATCACATGTCATCTTGGGCCTCCTACTGCTTCTGTAATCCTCTCGAGCATCCTTCAGCTACATTCTGGCGCCCCTCTGGAAGGCTGGAATGTCCCATCACTCCTGTTTACATGGCCCTCTTCCCACAGAACCTCCTTACACTGCCCTACCCCAACATCTGCTGGAGCAAGACTTACAGTACTTCACTCTCTTATCACTGAGCATTTTTCCAGCATCAAACATTATTTGTCTCTCAAAGTATTATAATCCTGGCTCTATCCTACTTAATATTTTTTGCAGGAAATATTTAAGTACCTTTTTATTAAAGTATAACATACATAAGGAAAAATGAACACGTTATACGTGGAAGCTTGATGAATTTTTGCCAAGTGAACATACCTGTGTAAACCGCACCCAGAGGGAGAAACTGAACATCACCAATACCCCAGGAGCTATCCTGTGACCCCTTCCTGGCCCTGGGCACCCCCCCCCCCCCCACCAACAGTAATCACAAGGTTGACCTCTAACAGCACAGATTAGTTTTTCCTGTTTTTTCATACTTTATAGAAAGGAAATCGTCAAGTATCACATTTGTGTCTGGTTTCTTTCGCTCAACACTGTTTGTGGGATTTGGGTTTTACTGGAAAATTTTAAACTCCAAAGTTTAATTCTTGTTTATCCCTTTTGAAGGTTAGTGTATGGTATGGGGAAAAGAACAAAAATATTTCTTTTAGAAAAATTGACTCTCAGGGGACCCAAGAATCCAACCCTCATAGTTTAGACAGTACTATTTTTTACTTGTTCTGTGCTTTTTCTTAGAAATTGAGCCCTGATTATCATTCTGTTTCCTGTCCAGAGTTAGCGCTGAGTACAATGAAGCTATGGGCTATACTGGACGCCTTGCACAGAAATTGTATCTGAGCTCTTGAAAGCAGTTATACTTAGAACTTAGACCTCACTGGGGCGCCTGGGTGGTTCAGTCGTTAAGTGTCCGCCTTCGGCTCAGGTCATGATCCCAGAGTCCCGGGATCAAGACCCACGTTGGGCTCTCTGCTCAGCAGGGAGTCTGCTTCTCCCTCTCACGCTCCCTCTGTGCTCTCTCACTCTCTCTCTCACAAATAAATAAATAAAATCTTAAAAAAAAAAAAAGAAAGAAAAAGAAGAACTTAGACCTTACTAACATTCAAAGCCACCCAGAACATCATAGCTGCACATTTAAAGCAAACCAGGGTGTACTGCAGTTATTACTTGTTTAGAATCCTTTCTCGTGGCTGCTTCTCTGTGTTACATGCCTTGTGACGTAGATGAGCAGAATCAACACGGGACAGTGGGAAGAGAGCTGAGCAAGGGATAGAAGACTCCTGTTTTGTTCCAAACGTGGGCTCATCCAGCTGGGTCCCATTGATTCTTTGAGCTTCGGTTGCCCTCATCTCTCAAGCTTGAAGAAAAGAACAAGACGATGTGTAAGAAAGGCTTTACAGACTGTTTCGTGCCGCACACAGTTGCGAGCTCCCCATATCACTGCACACTCCTTCCACGCTTGCTGTTCTTACTCAGATTTGATTCCTTCTGTCTGCTTACCGATTCTTTTTCATGACCTTCTCTCTGCTTGACTGCTCACTTTCCATTCCTACCTATACTTCGAGACCTAGCTCAAAGTATGACGTGTTTGTGAAATTTCTGCCATATGTGCGCCCACAGCTTTCTCTCCCTTCTTTGGACTCCTTTTATTTATCCCCATGGATAATGTTTCCTCTTTGTTTTCTTTTCTCAAATAGGTTATGCATTCCATTAAAATATATATATACACACACATACATATTTTTATATATATATATATATATATATATATATATATTGGGTTTTTCGGTGGGTCCACCATCTTAAAAAGGACATGGCAGGCATTTCATGCATAGTGTTCATTGCTTGTATTTAAAAAGATGGGACAAAATCAATGGTGTGCTGGCAAAAGCCCTAGTTTGTAGCATTTGCTGATTTCCATGGTGTAAATACTTCCACCATGGCCGATTTCAAGCTACCAACATGATGTCAATCAACTCACAAAATTCCTGCATTTTTAAGAATTAGACCTTATGGGCCAGTGTGAGCTGGCTCCAGTACCCAACTCGACAAAATGCTCTATATAAGAAGTCCTTTCCAAAGAAACATCATAACCTTCCTCCTGATTCATAAGAAAATCTGATATTCGATTTTATAAAAGTCATTCTCTTACTTCCTTAATCTCCCAAGAGAAGGTTGGATATGCGCATTTTTAAGAATAGTTTAACATGGACAGATGCTACAAGCCAATGCCTAATTTTTCAGAAGCATCTTGCTCTGTCTGTCAAGTGTGGCAAACACCATAAAGTGATTCATCTGTATCATGTGTGTGACTTCGTGTCACCTTAATTAGAAATGCCACTCTTCTAACCATAGCACTGTGTTGCAATTTTAATCTGAAAAATGAAAATGTTCCCACAGTGGAAAATTTATTTCCAACATGCTGCGGCTTTGAGTAGAAGGCTCTCAGTTGGTGAGGTGCAGGAGAATGGTCTTGAAGCTGGAGGAAATTGCTCAGAGCTCCAGGGTGGCATGGGAAGGAGGTCAGGACACCAGGGAGACTTCCTAAAAAGAAAGATACCAAAAAGCAACCAAAGACCCTATGTATTCCTTGAGTGTTTTGAGAGGTCTTGTACTAAAGTCTCAACAATATGCTTAAAATCTTACAGTAATCATCCGGCTGGCAGAAAAACACATTTCATAAAAACAAACAAACATATGAAGTTCATTTTTAACAATCCACATCTCTATAGAGAAAGCAATCTGCTTTGGTGAGGTCAGAAGAGTCTCAAAAGCATCAAATAAGATTCATCCAAGATATGATAAATTTGGACTTTTTACCTAACCTGACCAGATCTTTGGAAATTTACTATCTCTGGGTCACAGGAAAGAGTGAGGTGAAATGCACATGAGCATATGTACAAAGGCCATATGAAGGAATAATTGAATGCTATGCTAGTTGAGCCCTGGTCCTTTGTTTTCTGAGACAGAACTAGGAACTGACCTACATACCAATCATTTATTTTCTTTTTTTCCTGAATTAAAAATGAGTTCACTGTACAAAAGTGGCTGGTTTCCACACCAAGGGGGCGGGGAGGGAAGGGAAATCAAGGGAATGATACAAATGGTTTGCATTCAAAGGGCCTCTGTAAACAATGAAAAGCAATTCTCTGGAACTGCAGAACTCAAAATAAATAAAGCATGTGGGCATTTTGGGTGGAAATTGTAGGGGTTTGAGATGTTGAAGCCCCAGCTCACAGTAATTCAAAATGTGACCTTATTTAGAAATAAGATCTTTATAGATGTAATTAGTTAAGATGGTGTCATACTCAAAAATGTTCAACAAAATACCAGCAAACCCAACTCAAGAGCCCACCATGACCAAGCGGGATTTATTCCTGGAATATAAGAGTGGTTCAGCATATGAGAATTCATCAATGTAATATAACACATTGATCGAATACGGGACAAAAACCACATGATCATTTCAATCGATGCAGGAAAAGCATTTGACAAGACCCAAAGCCCTTTCATGATAAAAAAAAAAAAAACACTCAGCATACCAGGAGTAGAAGGAAACTTCCTCCACATAATAAAAACCCCATATGAAAACTCCCATTGCTAACACCATACACAGTAGTAAAAGAAAAAATTTCCTCTAAGATCATGAACAAGATAAGAACGCTCTCTTTTGCTACTTTTACTCAACATAGTATTGGAAGTCCCAGCCAGAGAAATTAGGCAAGAAAAAGAAAGAAAAGGCATTCAAATTGGACAGGAAGAAGTAAAATTATCTTTGTTTGCAGGACCTGAGCTTATATGGGAAAACACTGAAGAACCCCACAAAGAAGTGTTAGAAATAATAAATGATTTAGCAAAGTTGCAAGATACAAAGTGAATGCGCTAAAACCAATTGTGTTTCGATGCACTGACAGTTAAAAAAGAAAATCTAAAAATATTTACAATAGCATTGAAAATAACAAAATACTTAGGAATAAACTTAACCAAGGAGGTGAAAGACTTATACATGGAAAACTATAAAACATTGCTGTAAGAAATTAAAGACATAAGTAAATGGAAAGACATCTGTGTTCATGGATTGAAAAACTTAGTATTAATGTGTTAATACTATCCAAAGCAATCTGAAAATTCAACGCAAGCCCTATCAAAATCCCAATTGCACTTTTTGCAGACCAAAAAAAAAAATCCATCCTAAAATTCATGTGAAATCTCAAGGGACTGCAATCAGTCGAAACAATCTTGAAAAAGTTGGAGGTCTCACACCTTGTGATTTCAAAACATATTTGAAACCTATAGTAATCAAAAGAGTGTGGTACTGGCATAAAGACAGACCTGTAAGCCAATGCAATAGGATAGAAAGCCCCCAAATAAACCCTCAGATAGGTGGTCAAATGGTCTTCCACATAGGCGCCAAAACCATTTGATGGGGAAAGGGTATTCTTTTCAACCAAAATGCTGGGAAAACTGGATAGCCACATGCAAAAGAGTGAAGTTGAACCTTTCTCTTATACCATATAAAAAAATTAACTAAAAGTAGATTAAAGACCTGAACTTAAGACTCAAAACTGTAAAACTCCCAGAAGAAAATAAAAGGGTACAGGAAGAGACACCCCAAAATGTGCCATTTTGACATAAAGATCATTTTGAGTTAAAAGTAATAAAAAGCCAGCGGATGCAGGGTGCAGGAAAGGTGCTCTGCCTCCCCATGGCTGCCTACATTTACATTGGAAAGGAGAGCCTGCAACAGAAGGGAAGTATGAACAGAGGCCCCTTTTATGGAAGGAACTCATCTGCATAATAGAACAATCTTGTTTTTCCAAACATCTCCTTTCACCTTCTTGCTAATGAGCTTTCTCCCCTTTGTATCAGCAGACCCCAACACTTTTCCTTAGCTCATATAAGCTTCGCATCACCTCATGGTATTCAGAATCTCATGTTGTGTGGATTCCCTGTATCTATGCTATTAAATCTGATTTTCTCCTGTTAATCTGTCTCATGTCAATTTGATTCTGAGTTCTACTCTTAGCCGAAGGACCTTGAATGGCAGAGGACATGGTCTTCCTCCCTGACAAAAGCATAAAGCTAAGAACCTCGTGACTTCGGATTTGACAATGATTTCTTGGAAATGACACCAAAAGTACTGAAAACAAAAGCAATAATAGACAAACGAGACTCTACCAAACTTAAGAGCGTTTGTGTATCACTCTTTTTTTGTGGTGCCTTGGAGGCAGTAGGCAGCTTTAGGATAAAGATGAACATCTCTTTCCCAGATACTGGCTGCCAGAAACTCAGTAAAGTGAATAATGAATGCAAACTTCGTACCTTTTATGAGAAGCAGATGAGCGCTGGGTGTTACGCAACTAATGAATCATTGAACACTACATCAAAAACTAATGATGTACTACTATATGTTGGCTAACTGAACTTAAATTTTAAAAAATTTAAAAAAAAGAAGAAGGATATGGCTACAGAAGTTGCTGCTGCTGCTCTGGGTGAAGAATAGAAGGGTTACGTGCTCCAAATCAGTGGTGGCAATGAGAGACAAAGCTTCCCCAGGAAGCGGGGTGTCTTGACCCACGGCCATGTCCACCTGTGCCTGAGTAGGGGCATTCACGCTACAGACCAAGGAGGACTGGAGGAAGAAAGCACAAATCTGCTCAGGGTGGCACTGTGGATATCAATCTCAATGTTCTCAGCTTGGTCATTGTGAAAAAAGACGACAAGGATATTCCTGGACTCACTGATTCTACTGTGTTCCATCACCCAGGGCCCAAAAGAGCCAGCAGAATCCACAGACTTTTCGATCTCTCTAGAGGTGATGTCCACCAGTATGTTGTGAGAAAGCCCCTAAACAAAGACAGTAAGAAACCTAGAACCAAAGTGACCAAGATTCAGCGTCTTGTTATTCCACGTGTCCACCAATGCAAATGACGGTGTATCACTCTGAAGAAACAGCGCACTAAGAAAAATAAGGAAGAGGCTGCAGAATATGCCACACTTTTGGCTAAGAGAATGAAGGAGGACAAAGGAAAACGCCAGAAACAGATTGCCAAGAGATGGGGGCTGTCCTCTCCGAGAGCTTCTACCTCCAAGTCTGAGTCTGGTCAAAAAGGATTTTCTAAGAGTGACAAATCAAGAAGATCAGACATCAACAAACCAACCAACCAACAGAACAAAGCTGGTCTATCCAAGGGCATAATCAACAAAGTGAAAAGGCAACCTATGGGAGAAAATCTTTGCAAATTATCTATCTGATAAAGGGGTGAATAAATAGAACATAGGACTTCAACTCAATAAGAATAACAACAAATGAATACCGTGATTTAAAAATGGCCGAAAGACTTGGACATTTCTCCA